AAGAGGACTATATAGATTGGTATTGGACATATGGGCTAATATTGGACTTTGGGACTTGATCTGGACTGGGCTGGGATGTTTTCTCAATGTTCAATCGCTCTTGTAGATAAATCTCTTTCTTATACACACACACACACAAAAAAAAAGAACACAGAGAAGAAGAATAAGGAACATTAAGACAACACATAGTTGGAAAGCTTTCTAAGACAGTGCTTCTCAAAGTGGGCAATATTGTCCCCTGGGAGGCACTGGAACAATTGGGGGTGAAAGGGGGGTTTTGGGGGGATTGACTGTACAGTTTGTCCAGGATTATGGGTGACAGAACAAATGTTTTCAATTGTCTGAAAAGGAGGCACATGGGCGAAATAAGTTTGAAAAACTATGCTCTAAAATAATAAGATAAAGATGCCCACTTTCCTAACTGCTGTTCATTATTGTATCAGAAGTCCTAGTAATCTAAATAGAAAGATATTAAAGGGCATCCAAGTAAAACCATTCTCTGCTGATAACATAATCTATACATTCAAACTCAAAGAGTCCTCATAAAAGCTACTAGAGCTAATAAATCAGCACAGAGCCATGGTACATCAACAGAGGGAAAACTGTATATTCCTGTACACCCGCAATTTACACTCCAAAATGGAATCCAAAACCATTTCATCTATAAAATACCTACATATGTCACTGAAATGAAAGCTTTACACTTGAGAATTATATAACATTTCTCAAAGAAATTAAATATACCTTTATATTCATGGATTACAAAGGTTTAATATTGTTTAAATGTCAATTTACTCAATCTACAGATTCAATGTAATCTCTGCCAAAAGTCTAACTTTTTTTTCTTGTAGACACGGAAAGGCCAATCTTCAATTCACATGGAATTTGAAGGTCAGTAGTTCAAACCTACTAGGTGTTCTTGAAAAGGAATAAAAGAGGACTCAAACTTTCTATAAACTTAAAGCAGTCTGCACTGGCTTAAGAATAGAAATATAAGGCAGAGACCAAACTAAACTCATTGCCATCAAGCAGATTCTTGAATCTGCTTGATATTTTAGGACAGAGTTCCATCTTTCTCTGGGAAGCAGTAGACAGGTTTGAACTGCTGACCTTACCATTAATCACAAGACTCAACCAATGCAAATCCAATGCTCCTGGATAGATGGGACTCCAACTTCATTCTTTTCCATGTAGACATGCAGCTATCATCCCAACATCATTTATGAAAGAGACTTTTTTGTTCCCACTGAATGGATATGACATTCTTACAGAAAAACAACTGGCCATACAAGGGGGCTTCAAAAAGTTAATGAAAACAAGTACTGTGGTAGTGAAAAGCTTGGTATCAACTTGGCTAGGGCAGTGTTCTTTGTGGTTTGGCAGTTAGGACCTATTAATCCCCATGATCTGACCTAACACAATGTGATGACATCCTCCATAATAGGGTAAGACTGGATAGAATGCAACACTGCGAACAAAGCTCTGATCAAGTTAATAACCATAGGGCTGTGGCCTGCTTTCCAGTATACGTGGATGCTGTAGGAAGCCTTGCTTGCTTTTTGCTGGGTCTGGGCCCAAATCTGGCTCATGGGCCTCCAGTTCTTTGGACTTGAGCCAATGGTCTGGCACACTGCCTGCCCATCCTGGGACTCATTAGTAACCTGTTCATTTGACCTGCTGACTTTTGGTGTATCATTCTCTGCAACCACCAGCCTGTGGTCTTCCTGAAAATCACAGCTATTTGAGTCAGGAGAAACATTCAGTTAGTCCAGTCTAACATCTGACATGTGGATTTGGACTGTCCCACTTCTACAACTGTGTGAGCCATTTTCTTGATATAAATTTCTGTGTGTGTGTGTGTAGCCCTGGTGGTATATGTTACGTGTTGGACGTTAACCAAAAGGTCAGTAGCTCAAATCTGCCAAGCTGTTCCTTTGGAGAATGAGACATTCTACTCCCATGAAGATTTACAACCTCATAAACCAACAGGGGCAAATCTACTCTATCTATAGGGTTATGAGTCAGAATTAACTCGATGACAATGAGTAATATATAAGTGTCATGGCTTTGCTTCTCCAAAGAACTCAGCCTAAGACAATTAATTTCTAATTCCATTTTTCCATCAACGTGTGTGTGTGTGTGTGTGTGTGTGTGTGTGTGTGTGTGTGTGTGTGTAATCTCAATCTGCAAACATACAGACCACTCCAGAGATTCATGTTCTATGGCAATGGATTTTCTACAAGGGTGTCAAATCCATTTAGTTGAGAAGGAAAAAATCTCTTGAACAAACAGTATTTTGTTCAGAAAAAAAAAAAAAAAGATTTTATTTCTGCATGCAAAAGAACATAGTTGGACCCATAAGTAACACCACATACAAACACTACCTAAAAATGGATTCTATGACCTAAACGTAAGTAAACTAGAACACTGAGAAGAAAGGTTTTGAAAGATAGAAACATGAAGTTCTTTTGTAAACGAACAACATGTTGCATCACTAGAATGATGAAGTTTAATATGGGCAAGTTCACAGTATAGTAAATCTTTAAAAGCATATTATATAACCACTAACTGATCGGAAAAGGTATCTACTAAAACCTGGACCATGTAAATCATATGTAAAGAAAGCAATGAAGCACTAAATTAACAAACACAAAACCAATATGAGTAAAATTCCTTTAACTTATTCAAATAAGTATGTAGTTACATCAAAGCCATCCTATTTTGTTCATGTGTTTAATTATAACTACACCAAACTCAATACCATTGATTAATGCTGATTCATAACAGTCCTATCGGACAGGGCAGAATTCCCCCTGTGGGTATCTGAGACTGTAACTTTTTACAGGAATAAAGATAGGAATAACCCCATCTTTCTTGCAAATGGCTCGTGGTCTCGAACTATTGACCTAATATGGTTAGGAGACCAACTCATAAATAGGAATATGTAAAAACTGGTACTTTCTGTCTCTCCTGATTATCTGAATGATGCCTATGTGAAAATAAAGTAAAACCTAGAGGAAAAAAAAAAGTAAAACCTAGAGGATTCTGGAGGTCATTCCAGATTGTGCCTTTTGTTCTTCTAACTTTAATTTTCCCTACAAGGAAAATTTTCAAAATATACGTAATAATAATTCAATGTAAATAAACTTGTTAAACTCAATAAAGTAAATTAGGAACAAATGCAAAGATTTGTTATACTAACCCACCTAATTAACTGTAGCTTTGTAAAGACCATGATGCTGTACTTACATTTCTATTACAGATCCCACAGACGCCTGGTGCAAATATAAGACATCTTTACTAGCAGTCAGTCAGCTTGCATGATGTTCTCTTCCACTGCTGGCTCATTTTTTTGCTATGGTACAAAAACAACACAAAATCTTCACCATCAACTTCTCTACAGAATAAGACGAAAATTAACAAAAATAGCCAATTATATATAACTATTTTATTTCACAAAATTTGGTGGCAAATTCCATCTTAAAAAGTTTTTGTGGGGGGAAAAAAAAGCTTTTGTGGGGGCAGTCTAAGTTTCAAGAAAAATTGTGGGAAACAGAAAAGTTACTCCCCAGGTTGTCCCCCCCATATTATATGCCAAATTTAAGGCACTGACTGTACATTTGGAGGTCAACTGCTTACAGGTTATCTGCGTGGAGATTATCAGCCATATATGGTAGAGCAGTCAGACCCTATAATCTGTCCCACCCTACGTAGGGTCCACTCCCTTCTGATACGGATAACAGATGGCTCCCCTGGAAGGGAGAGCCCCAAAACATCTGTCACACCAACTCAAGACCAACCAAGGTTAGGCTGCCATCTTGCCTCTAGAGCCCGCTTATGGCATCTTGTTACATGTATGCCTTCCTGTCACATAGGTCTCTTGTGCCTCCCCTTCCTGTTATGCATATGAGTATTGTACTACCCCTTCCTGTTAATTAAGGCACCTGCAATTAGGGGGTCTTGCACGCCCTCTGAGTGTATGTAAGCCTTGGTTGGAAATATACTCTCTCTCTGCGTGGATCATGCTGCTGAGATCATGGCCATTCCAGATGTAAGCACTTGAATGCTTTATCTAGTCTGATGTCTCTTTAAATTTACCCCTCAATTGCACAACTGTGCCCCTTGGATCCATTCAATTGTGGGGGCTGGTACACCACAAAAATTCAAATACTTTATCTTTAATTTTAAAGACATTGATCACATTCACAAGAACTTTCTGCTAGAGCTATAGTATCACACAATTTTGTGCCAAAGCTGGTTTACAACCATTAAGTCAACTTTCTCTTAAGATGCCTCTTACACAGAAAACAAAGAGGCACCAATTAAAACGTCATCTCAGACATTAATCTTCTTTCCTCTCATTTACTATCTCCTCCCTTTATGATTTAGATTGATCCAGTGGCTGCGACAATGGACTCAAGCATAGGAACAATCATAAAGATGGCACAGTGTTTCGTTCTGGTATGCACAGGATAACTATGGGTCAGAACCAACTCGATGGCATCTAATGACAGCAACCACCCTTCACTCCATCATGCCCACTACAGGACGAACATAATATTACATAGAAGTTACTTGTTCTCAGCTAACCATATTAGTTGTTCAAAACTAACAGTTGCTCCCTAAGAATTAAGTTTTGCTCTGCCTTCTAGAGTTGCTGAGTCGGAACAGACTTGATGGCAGTGAATTTGGTTGGTGTTTACTTGGAATCAAGCATAGATGACTAAGGAGATGACAGAGCACTTAGTATGCTCAGAATAGGAGATTAACTACATTTTCTTTTAATTCCATATGCCTCCCATAGTTTGGACATCAATCCTGCCATACTTATTTGAGATGCTTGTGTTCAGAGATATATGAGCAGGCTACAAATTGTTCATGGAAATGTTCCATTCCCTTTTAATTTCATTTTCCACATACTTTCGAAGCCTCTCTCTCTATATATATATATTTTTAATTAGCATGTGACCTATAAATACAAGACAAGCCTGCTTATTCCCTCAATGCTTAACAAAAGAAACACCTATGTTAAAAATCAAAGTAATCAATTAAAGAGGGTTTCTGAAAAACCTTAGTGTTCTATTCAGACTTTACAACTGAGCCTTTATGTAATATGGACTACATTGCTCTGACTTTTCTCCCAACCCCTTCATTTTATATACAAGGTGGCTACAACTTCAACAGCATCACCTAAGACTGACTGCATTCACGTCCTTCCTGCAGTCTACTCAAAACAGAAAGGGTGTACTTGCTCTCTCAAATATGAGCGCGCACATGCACCCCCACACCCACAAAACCCTTCTACTGAACAGAAGGGTGCTACTATTCCAACAGCATTGAACCAGTAGCATTAATCCAATGTCACTGAATCAACTCCAACTCAAGGTGACTTCATGTGTGTCAGAGTAAAAGTGTCAATGGGTGATCACTGGAGAAATAGACTGCTAGGGCTTTCTTCTAATGTTCTTGGTGGACCTAAGTCTCCAGCAATTTTGTTACAATTCGAGTACATTATTCCCCTACAGCTACTCTCTCAAACCTTTAAGGCACTGCTAAATCTTCTACTGGTCATCCTGTTTAACACCTGATATCAAGAGTCCTAAAGAATAAACTATTTTGACAAAATAATAATTTGTAAATTATCAAGGGTTCATGGGTGGGGAGCTGATTCCAAGGGATCAAATAGAAAATGTTTTGACGATGATGGCACAAATGTACAAATGTGCTTGACACAATAGATGATGTATGTATGGATTGTGATAAGAGTTGTACAAGCCCCCAATAAAATGATTTTTTAAAAAAAGAATAAACTAACAAATAATGGTGTTACTGTTGTTAGGTTCTATCAAGCTGGTTTCAGCTCACAGTGACTCTGGACAACAGAACAACTACTCAATATGCCATCCTCACAATTGTTCTTACATTTGAGCCCATTGCTGCAGCCATTGGGGTCAATCCATCTTGTTGCTGAGGGCCTTTCTCTATCACTGCCTCTCCACTTTACTAAGCAAGATGTCCTCCAGGGACTGATCTCACCTAATACCGTTTCCCCGAAAGTAAGACATCCCCCCAAAATAAGACCTACTCACAGTTTTGCCTCTTGCTGAAATATAAGACCACCACCCCCTGAAAATAAGGCCCTGAAGCTACGGTAACTCTGGAGTCTGGACCGTAGCAGCAGGCGCCACCACACAGCTCACTGTTGTAGCAGACAGGAAATGCGAGTTCTCTTTTCATAAAACAATAAACGGGGGAGCGGGGAGGGAGGGGGAAAATGAGGACCTGATGCCAGGGGCTTAAGTGGAGAGGAAATGTTTTGAGAATGATGAGGGCAATGAATGCACAAATGTGCTTTACACAATTGCTGTGTGTATGGATTGTGATAAGAGTTGTATGAGCCCCTAATAAAACGATTTAAAAAATACACAATAAATGGGTACTGTATTCTTCATGGAAAAAATAAGACCTAGTGCATCTTTGGGAGCAAAAATTAGTATAAGACGCTGTCTTATTTTCGGAGAAACAGGGTAACATGCCCCAAGTATGTGAGACAAAGCGGAGCCATCTTCGCTTCTAAGGAGCATTCTGGCTATACTTCCCAGACAAATTCATTTATTATGTCAGTCCATGGTATTGCTAATATTCTTCACTAGCACCATAATTCAAATGCATCAATTCTTATTCAGTCTTTGAATATCAGTACCCAACTTTCACGTGCATTATGACTCAAACAGACAAACTCACCGCCGTCCAGTCTATGCCAACACATGCTTACAAGGCGATTAAATATACCATGGCAACTTTGGGCTCACCCTTAATCAAAGCCCTCATCTACTTAGTTCTTATGGCATGGCTCTACTTGATAGTCACAGTCATGGAGAGATCACTGAAAATATCAGTGTAAAGAAATCAGACGGTGCTCAGCTATCAGAAAGAAGAGTGTCTGGGATCTTAAAGAGTTGTTTTAAAACAAGTGTCCATTTAAGTAAGGCATAAACCAAGTCCACACTGAAGTGTGTGATCCCGGGACTATTAAAAAAAAACAAAAACCAAATTCTGAGGATGGAATGGTATCAAAGCCTATTCAGAACACCCAGTTTGCAGGAAAATTATAGTGACAGTAGAAGCCCCAAAATCCATTTGCAAAGTAAATCCCCTCTGACCACAGTCCAGGGTTGTTTATGGCCTTGCTAGCAGAAAAGCACTGTATAGTCAATTATAACAGATGCAGCTAGGTGGTTAACATGACATCCTATCATTTGATCATCCTTTCGGCCCACTATAAATTTGTCCTGATTTTAAATATTATCTTTTTTTTTTTCAATTGAGCTTTTTCTGTTTTGTTTTAATCATTGTTGTTATGTTTGTTTCTTGATTTTGTTTCATTTTTCTGTATATAAAATCCAGGACAGGTAAATTTATGGAGGCAGTAACTGAATTAATAATTACCTAGAGGCATGGCAGGGAGGTTGGGGGAAATGAGATGCTAACAACTACAAGAAAGAAGAAAATGTTCCAAAACTTATTGTGGTGATGACTGCACAACTGTTCTTGATGTGACTGAACTACTGAATTCTATATGTGCATTATATCCCAATATAAAAAAGATAAAATATCAAGACTTAGGTGCCCCTTAGTTCTCAAAGTATTATCTTTGCTTTCCAATACTTTTAAGAGGCCTTGTGCAGATTTACCTAATGTAATGTGCCATTTGATCTCTTGACTGATGCTTCTTTGAGTAAGTACTGATTGTGGATCCAAGCAAGATCATCCCTGAAGCATCAATTGTTTGTTTATCACAATGCTGTGAGGGTTTTTTTCCTTTACATTGAGTATAATCCATACTGAAGTCTGTACTACTTGATCTTCATAAATGCTTTCAGTTCTCATCACTTTTAGGAAGCAAGGTTGAGTTATCTGCATGCCGAAGGTTGTTAGTAAGCCTTCCTCCATTGCTGATAGAGCATTCTTCATATAATCTAGCTTCTCTGATTGTGTGCTCAGAGAAGAAATGTAGTTATATTAAGTTATATGTGTTGATATTTGTTGATATTTTGACTCATAGCAACCCCATATGATCAAGTAGAAGCTGTCACAAGGTATCTTCTATAACCTTAGAGTTGATCGCTAAGTCCGCTGAAACAGCTGAGTGGGTTCAAACTGCTAACTTTCATTATGTCAACAGGGCTTCCAATAATTAATTTCCAAACTCAAATCAAACCCACTGCTAATGAGTTGATTCCATCCCATAACGACCCAATAGGGCAGAGTAGAACTGCCCTTGTGAGTTTCTTAACCTGCAAATCAGATTCCCAATCTTATGTGAAGAAAAAAATAAAAATTACTCAGTGCCTG